GGGGGCGGCTGCTCGCCCGGCTCCCGGCAGCCCCGGTCCCCGCTCGCTCCCTTCTCGGAGGCCGCAGCGCGGTGCGGCGTGGGAAGGATGCTTGGTGGCTTGCCTCATCCGCCTCTGATAAACGGTTTTCCCATCCTCAAAATAAATCTCTTGGGCCGTTGCCCCAGGGGTCACGGGCGATGTGGGAATCAAATGGGAAGAACTAAACCAGACGAATTTTTCTTTGGTGCTTTTCAGTCCTCCCAGTTAAACCGTCCTCCAAGCGGTGTTTGTCGAAGGCTTCATAAGCCTTTTAAGGGGAGGGTATCCAGTCTGGGACAAAATTCATTTTAGTCCTAGATTACTCAGTTTTGGCAATAACAGGGAATTCAGGTAAAATGTGCTGGAAGTGTTGCAACTACCCCATGGGTCAGGTTTGTAAAGCTATAAGGATCCGCTGCTGGCTGGGTCTGGGGAGCCCATGGGGAGGCCGGGCTGCCACGGCTGAAACTTGCTTTGGATGAAGAACCTCAATCTTAATTCACCTGAGAGCATTTCCTAACAATTTACGCGAAAAAACGAAAGGCACGCGACGCCTTACGGACATTGCCACCTCATCTGAAAGCTGCAGGAAAACCCTGCCCCATTAACGCTGCCGGGTTTCGTGCTGTGGGAAGCACGAGACGAGTTCCCTTGCTCGGGAACCTGAGAAACTGCAACTCCACTTTGTGGCCTGCACAGACTGCTCTGGGCAAGGCAGCGGCGAGGCGGAGAAATAAACTTTCCCCAGAAAGCTATTTCCTCCTCAAAGGGCCATGTTATTTATAGAAAGCAGAGATTTTTTTTTTTTGTTGTGCTGATTCACGCAGCTCCAGTTAATCTGACGAAGCCTAATCGCAGATCCTTCCCGCCAGCGCCTGGGCGGCGGAAGCCGGACGGCGGCCCGCACCATGCAGGAGCCCAGGCGGTCGCTGTGGCCGTTCCAGCGGTGGAAATCGGGGTAGTCCCCATGCTCCAGCACGTACTGCCGCCCGCGGAAGCCGGCGTGATCAAAGCAGACCCAGGCGCCGCTCCGGACGCAGATGGAGTTCACCCGGGTCGGGAAGCCTCTCCCCTGGAAGCTCTCGCAGGCCCCGCAGACCTCCAGCTTTCTGCCGGTGAAGCATCTGCCCTCGTAGAAAGCGATCTGGAGCGAGGAAGGAGAAAAGATCTCAGGTGAGGCACGTGGGCACAGCCAGACCCCGATTTCGAGCAAGCCGATGAACCAGGGGTTTTTATTTTTTAGCTGCTTTCCAGCAAGAGCAACATGCAACTATCACTGGTATTTTTTCCAGGAACGGTACTTGTTTTTCTGAGAACTACAGTGCATCCTGCATTTACGACACTCCTTGCAGCCCTGAGCAAGCCTCCCTCCTGCTCATTCAAAAATAGTGCTAATACAAATGTTTAACCAGGACACTTTATGCTCGAAATGCAGCTTGTTTTGCTTCATCCTCCCCTCCCCACGCCTCCTAACCAACTTGCTAACAGCATCATCGCTTCTGTATCATCCGACGCAGTGCTGTTCTAACCTACTCTTTCAACCTAGAGAAAACTCTGGCTTTTCTAGTCCCACGCTGAAAGCTAAGCAGTTGGGTTTTTACTTACTTTTCCTGAATATTGAGACATTTGCTGCTGGCTGCTCTCCAAAACCAAAAGCCGAACCCAAACTGTGACCTACAGAGATGGTGGACACCCAGCTATATATCAGCCGGGGAGACGGGGCTGGTAGCGCAAAGGCTTTTCAACAATGCTGCAGGAGCAGGGGGCTTTAAGCGGTCGTGCTTAGCAGGCAGAATTTCGGGTAGCGGGCCCTGCTGAGTCCAGGGTTTTGATTTAGGGCAGGCGAATTAACAAAAGATTTGCTTGGCAGCGCTTTGGTCGATGAGCGGTGCGCGTTTACTGCTCCTTTTGAAGGACTTTTTTTTTTTTTTTTTTTAAAGAAAATAAGAAAACAGACAAGAAATAAGAAAAAGGCCACAGCTCGACATGCGGCTCTTTTCCGATTGCTTTGTGTTTGGTTGGCTTCCCTTTACGAGAAGGCTGCTGGGTTTTCCCGGCTTATTCTCCCCTATTGAAGCGTGGCAGCCAAAAGCAAATGCCCTTGGAAGGCTCCTTAACCCTAACACATCGTGCCCCATCTGTCCGAAAAACGGCTTCTTGTCCCACCTTCGAACCTATTCAAATGGCACCTCTGAAAGCCGAGGATCGAAGCGCAAAGCTTGACCTTGAAAACTCAGCAGCGCTGTTCATTATTGTCGCTTTTATGAACGCTCCCCGTCTTGCATCACTGAAGCACCGAGACACGTATATAACTCAGGATTAGAGGGATTTTTGAGCTACGCCATTGGCCATGAAGTAGTACTTCCCATTTCGTTTTGCTGTCGTAGGCCTTCCTATTCTGACCTCTTAAACGCCAGCTCAAGGAAACGCTGCTTCGTATTATTCTTCCCTGTATTGTAAGAGCATTCAGAGACTTCAACTGCCTTATTCCCGGGACAAATAGCAAGGGAAAGCCCCAGCCCATGAACCACACCAGTTTGCGTTAACAAGCCAGTCTAGGAAGGGGTAAAGGCAAACGCAGACGCCCAGCTGCTGGGGCAGCTCGGATGTGTCAGGCGTAACACGTCAGCCACGTTACAACTCACAAGGTAGGGTGCTACAAGATTTTTAAAAATTCATTTATACTATTTCAGAGGGCTGGAAGAGCCCTCACACCCTGCTCCTGCTTCATTTTTAAGATTAAAGAGCACTCGTGAAGAAAGGATGCAATTACTGAAGATTAAACACATGCCACCCTTACAGTTAAGATGCAAAAGTTAATAAAGGCACGTGCACACACACGTAGGCTGAGGGGGGAGACGTCGCTTTTACCTGGATTTGCTGGAGGAGGAAGGAAGGAGGCGGCGGGCGCGTTCGGAAAAAGAAACGCAGACAGCCTCTGACCGGCCCGGGAAAACCTGCCTCGCCATCGCAGAGAAGAGGCCAGAAATGCCGGTTACGTCTAAATATTCTGATAGGAAGCAGGAAATCCAGAAGAAAAATCTAATCTAATTTAAAAAAAAAACCTTCAAAATGCTAGTTTTACTTTCTAGGTGCTAAATTAAGTCATCAGATGGTGCGAAAAAAGCGCCAACGTACTGAAATCGGCCTTTGGAGGACCGCACCAAGCTCGGGGCGCGTTAGCAACGCGACGGGAAGCGGCGTCCTTCGGGCAGCAGGAGGTCGCGGTCCGCGGGCAAGATGGGACCGAGCCACAGCGGCTCCCACTTTACAGGTCCGGCACCGCGACAGGCAAAGCCATCCCATGCTCCGGGGACGGAGGAGAAGATGCGTCCCTCTTGTGCGTCAGGTAGCATCGCGCTGACAAGGTGCTGCCATCGCTGGTGGTTGGGCCCAGCTATCCCTCATGGTTGGGGTCAGAGCTGCACGCGGGCTCTCTCCATATTTGGCATCAGGAGCTGCTGGAGGAGGAAGAGAAGTATAACACGCAACACAAAGTCATCCTAAAGTACCTTGGAAGTCAAATATACCTGCAGAACAAGGTTTTTTTTCCTGGAGCCGTGGAATTGTTAAAGCCTGTTTCCCGCGGCTCTGGGCCGCGATGGGATTTTTCCTGCCTTTCCCACGGTGCCAGCTTTAATCACATCCGCAGGAACCTGACGCTCCCGAGACCGCTGCCCGGCTGCTAAGTTGTTAGGAGTTGTCCAGCAGGTTCAAAAGCTATTTAAGGAGAGACAAAAAGCAGCTGCAACGACATTATTCTTGCATTTCTTGGAGAACCCATGCTGAACACGTGTAGCATCGCAGCGGCTGTCCTTGGAAAAAGCTGGAAACAACAGGAAAAAAGAATACGGAAGAGCTGCAAATCCCAGTTCCCAGACAAAACCCTTCAATTCCTTCTAAAGGATGCAAAGGTCGCAAACGGAAGAGGGTGACCCGGCGAACCGAGCAGCCCTGGGACACGAGCGGGCCCTGGAGCAGCCCTTGCCCCCCACTCGTCCCTGCTCCCGGTCTCCGTATTGCCGCCAGCCTGCAGACACCACCACCGCGACGGCATGGCAGGTTTCTTCCAAGCCCCAGCTGGACCCAGGGGCAAGACCTCAATAAATATTTTAACCACGCGAGATGGGGTTGACAGTATGAAGAGGGCCACGGCACGGGTCACTGTCTCTCGCTCGTCCCCAAGGCCACGAGAGGCAGGATCAGAGGAGCGTCTGCGATAAATTCTCGGGAAGCACCAAGCCCCAGACACATCACGCGCCGACGGGCCCTGGCGCCCAGGCTTCCCCGCGCTGCGCTCCGCCCGCGGGCGCG